ACCATGAGTTCTCATGTGACATGAATATGAGAACTCTTCGTTGATCGTGTTCAGTGAACTCATTCTCTATTGAGCACCTATGATCACTCATATATTTCATGCATTTATACCATCAATTTCTAAAGTTTTTGTGATGTTTTTATGTTAAAATTGTAGTAACTTACCTTACCTTGTGTTAATGTACAGTTAATTTTGTGTTAGCATTGTTTTCACAGAAATAATGGAATGATGGAGGAATAAAAGAAACAAAAGAAATCCATGGCATGGCAGTCATGGAGTGATGTAGTGATGGAGTGATGGAAAAGAATAAGAAAATAATTGGATCAAATGATATAATTGGATTTAACTTACCTTCCCTTATTGTTTTGAATTAGATTTTTGTTAGTTTCCCAACCCAATGATATAATTGGATCAAATTTGAACCATGATCATCAAGAACTTAGTTAACATGTGTTTTGTGAAATTCCTAATTCTCTTGTTAGTTTTGTACATGTTTGACCATCTTTGAAAAACCAAATGCACATAGCCTTGTTAATGTGAAACTAAAGTATGACTTAAAGCTTCATATGTGAATTTAGTGACCATATACATCCTATGTGAGTTTTTGAGCCGATTGAAAGTGTGTGCATTTTTCATACACTCCTATTCTTTCATGTGTGATGAACTTATGTGAGATACATCTCTAGAACTTGCGTAATGATCTTTCGAAATGCTTGTCATTGAGTGCATGAACTTGGAAATGATAGAGGCATTAGGTTTACCACTATGGCCCAAATAACCATGTTTCCCAAATAAAAATGATATCATTAGATTGCCAATTTGAGCCGTGTATGTTGAGCCTTTTATTTCTTATCACCAGATATGTCTACCCTTATACCTGAAACATTTTTCCTTACCCTTTCCAAGCAAGCTAGTGAGCAATGTGAGATTGTCTTAGAGGTGCTAAAAGAATCGTTGGAAAGATTGAGTTCTTATAAATCTAAAGAAAAGAATTGCTTGCAATGTAGCTTGGAACTTGTGTTTACCTATTCTTTCATTTCAATAACCCTCTCCCTAAACCTCATTACATCCAATAAAAGTCCTCTTGATTTAAGTTTTGCAATTATGATTGTGGAGATGAGATCTTTATGCAAGCTTATGGTAGAAATTTCACATTTGATTCTTTGAGCGAAACACATTTAAACTAAACACATGTGTGATTGAGTGCATATCCCGTGAGAAGGTCGCTAGTTTGCATATGATGATTTTAAAAATAAAAACTTGAAATTGCATTAGCATGGCTATCTCACACACTACACTTCAAGGATGATTCAAAGATTACTGCTAATATTTGAATAAGGAAGATGAACTTGGATTAGTTTGTTTGGTGCTAGCTATGGTTCTTGATGATTTGTTTTCTTAAATGAAATTCTATGAGGATCACATAAAGGGAAGCTAATGTTTTTCATGTTTTTACTTTTTCATATTTTCTTTGTTTTGCTCGAGGACTAGCAAAAATGTAAGTTTGGGGGTATTTGATCACTCATATATTTCATGCATTTATACCATCCATTTCTAAAGTTTTTGTGATGTTTTTATGTTAAAATTGTAGTAACTTACCTTACCTTGTGTTAATGTACAGTTAATTTTGTGTTAGCATTGTTTTCACAGAAATAATGGAATGATGGAGGAATAAAAGAAACAAAAGAAATCCATGGCATGGCAGTCATGGAGTGATGGAGTGATGGAGTGATGGAAAAGAATAAGAAAATAAAACAGTGGGAGAGCACGGACGAAAAAAAGAATAAAAGAATAAGAAGCAGTGGAGGGCAGACTGAAATAAAATAGGCAGGGAGTGGACGAAATTAGTTCAGAAAACAAATGAACCACAGATTCTCAATCAGACAAAGAAAAATATTCTCACTTGTACCAAAACCTGGCACTTCACCTTGCAGGCCACTCACGGCAGACATCACTATGACAACCAAAAAGAAGAAAGTCACGGAGAAAAGAAAAAAAGAAAGAAAACACTGACAGAATAAAAGGCGCGGAAGAGAGTAAGGGAGGTGGGGGGGAATACAGGCTGCCTTTGGCAGCGTGAGAGACAGGAGGCGGAGAGAGCAGTAAGGGCAGAGGGGAGACTGACACGGAAGCAGCAGAGGCACGGCAGGCGAGAAAGGATTGGCAGGCGCAGATTGGCAAGGAGAGCTGACGTGAGAGACAGCAGGAGGAGGCTGCTTTGAGCAGCGTGAGAACGGGAAGAGAGAAGAGAGACTGTCAGAAGCACAGTCCACACGGGCAGAAGACCAGAGGCACGGGCGGACTGGCGAGCAGCGTGAGCCTCGGGGAGGAGAAAAACAGAAGCAGCAAGCTGCCTTCTCTCTCGGTTAAATCTTTCCAAACTTATATTTTATTTCTGTTTTAATAATGTGTAACTAAATTTATTTTGGCTAGAGGTTAATTCAAAGCCATGAATATATTTGTAATATGAATTGATTACCTTCAGTTGTGATTTCTGAGTTGTGATTTAATTTGCTTAACTGCTTGATTGATAACTTATTTTTGTATGTCGATTAAGAATGCATACTTAATTTACATGCATGAATTTGATGCTAGAATATAAGTGAATTTCACCTAATCGTTATGAACTTATATTCACAAGTAGTGAAGGTTGTTATCCACAATCGTGTTAAGTGAATTCTAGGCTGGATTAACATGCGTATTCCATAGTTATGAATGCCTAGTCAATGTTTATGATTTCCGTTGAACTTAATGATCTTTGTTGAATGTCTCTATCATGCGTATTCCATAGTTAGGGACTTTGATGAGGAATAATTTGGTTGTAATGCGTATTCCATTCAATCCAATGAATCTAGGGAAATCTAAGAGTTAATTTAAGCGGACCTAATTAACTTGGAACATTGTCATTCACAATTTATTGAAAGAACAACTGAAAATCAATTTAGGTTGCATATGTGTCATGTGTGGAGAAGAACCCTCTAGCTAGTCCGTCACCTATCCTTTCACCTTAATTTCATGCTTTTGTCAATTCTGTAATTTATTTAAGTTTAATTTACTTCTCGTCAAAACCAAACCCCCCCATTATTAAATTATATTATTTAGTTAGTTTTCATTGTTGTTAGTCTTTTAATTCAATTTCCGTCCATTTCAGTTCCTAGTGTCTAATTTGATTGTTTTCATTATTTTGAGTCATTCTAAGTGTGTTTCGAGTTATTAGAGTTTTTAGCCTAGTTTTGTGTCCTTGAGTCTTGTTTAATATTTTTAAATTAATTTAGAATAGATTAGCAATCCCTCCTAATCCCCGGCCTAGAACGATACCCTACTTACATCTATACTACAATTGTCAAAAAGAGGGTTTAATTTGTGTGTCAAGTAATTCTCGCATCAACCTACGTACTTGTCTTGATGTCACACACACCAATGACACGAGACTAGTCACTCTCCCTGAGAGAAGACACAACACGTACTGATCTTAACGGACTGTCAATGCCCAATTGGCAATCCTATGATCAGGAACGTTTAGGATGTGTCTACGAAAGAATGGTCTCATGAATCTAACTTCTTTAGATCGCATTCTCCCAATCACATATTCCTTGGACTTATCGTTTAAGCATATAACATTTATATGAGATGGCTCAAACAATAATCTTTGCCCTTGATATTAAACTAGATTAGTTTAACATGTGAAATGTCAGTAAAGTATCATCATATGATTGGTTTTAGGGCACATTTCCAACAGTACCAAAGAGAAAAATTGAAATCAAGTGGCAAGAGAATAAAAAATTGGGGACTTTCACATCTGTGAAATACAAAATCTATGATTTTGTAAACATCATAGGCTGAGTTTAAGCGGTCGGTGGGATGGTCTGGCGAGGTCGTCGAGCAGGATGAGCATGCGAGAGGATTCTATCAGTCAACACGAAGAGAAGTGGTGGCTGAGGCTGAAGGGGTCAAGCAGACAAGGATGAGAGAAAAGAGTCGATCAAACGATGACGCAACGGAGAGTGGTGGCTGACACCGGAGGGGTCAAGCAGATACCGATGCGATAGAGAAGTCGATAAGATGATGTCGAGAGAAAGGAGGCGAGTGCATAAGGATGAGAGAGAGCACAGTCTTAGCAATCCCATAGGTTTTGGAGGGACTCGCTAAGGTCCTTTGTCTGTGATAATGATTTCGGGCACCCTATACCTATGCAGGATTTTAGTCTCAATGAATCTCTTGACAGTACCTGAATTAATAGGCTTCACAACTGAAGCCTTCACCCATTTGGTAAAATAGTTAGTTGCCACAATTATAAAGGTGTGCCCTTTGCTGGAAGCTGGATATTTGCCCGATGAAATCCATAACCCACCATCTGAAAGGCCATGGCTTTACAATTGATGCAAAGGTATTGATGGAATATGTTGCAAATGACCATGTCTCTGGCGTTCTTCACATCCTTTAGCATAAACCTTATAGTATTTCTCCATGTTGGGCCAAAAATAGCTATATCTTCTCAGCAACCATCTCATCTTTGTTCCTGCTTGGTGTGCTCCACAGATTCCCTCATGTACCACAACCTTTACGCTCATTAACTCTTCCAGACCCAAGCATCTCAACAAAAGCCCATATGGGGTTTTCCTCAACAAAAGTTCTCCCCACAGAACAAATTTAGTTGCCCGTTGTTTGGTTTTCTTGCAAGTAAGGAAAGAAAGATCTTTTAAGTATTGGATAACAAGTGTTCTCCAATCCTCGAACTCAGGTTCTTCTGTCATTATAACCAAACTGAATCCTCTCTCAAAGAAAAAGGGAAGACTCATTGCTTGTGTTTCTATTTTTATCTCAAGTGTTCCTTTCTGGTCTTGGGCTTCATATACTAGTTGTGCCATCTCTTTGGCAGCCAAATTCAACTTAATTATGATTTCACTCCCCCAATATGCCAACAATTGTGTGACAGCCATATAATATCTTGAAATGGTGATATGCCTACACTTGTACTCCCTATTCAGTTGATTAATCACTTAACTCTTAATCTCCAAATACCTCTTTTTCTCCTGCCTTAATTCTATCAAGATTTCTAAGCCAATGATTAGTGCTTCATATTCTAGTATGTTTTTGGTTATATCGTCATAATCCAAGAGAAATGAATAAGAATGGTAAGCCCCCTGTAGGCTGACAATGACTATCCCTGAACCTGTAGCTTGCTGTGTGCATGATCCATCAAAATATAGCTTCCATGGAGTGATCCATAAGCTGGATAATCTTTTTATCTCTTGCTGGATCCAAACTTCCTTGCCTAAATTTCCTTCTCTCAGTGGAAACCAAATACTTGCAACTTTCAGAGTTTCAAGAATATTGATCAACTCTTCTTCAGGTTCTTGGTGTACTGTCAGAAAGTCTGCAATTGCTTGCCCTTTCACCGCCTTTTGAGACACATATTGGAAACTAAATTTTGAGAGGGCTAGAATCCATTTCTCAATTCTTCCTATCAGCATGGGTTTGGACAATATGTATTTGATTACATCAGTCTTAACAATTATGTGAGTATAGCAAGGCATTGTGTAATGCCTCAGCTTACTGGTAGTAAAATACAAGGTTAAACATAACTTCTCCACTTGAATATATCTTGTTTCTACCCCAGTAAGAATTCTACTGAGATAGTATACTGCTTGTTCTTTTCCTCCATTATTCTGAGCCAGCAAACTCCTAATGGATTTCTCTAATGCTGATATGTAGAGTTTCAAAGGTTTTCCCCTATAGGGAGGCATGAGTACTGGAGGAGAAGATAAAAAAAGTCTTTACTTTGTGAAAAGCTTCTTAATGTTGGGGGCCCCACTCAAATTTGTCTTAATTCTTCAATCTTAGCAGATGAGTCAAAGGTTGGATCTTGCTCACAAGATTAGCAGTGAATCTTCTAAAAAAGTTAATATTTTTCCCAACAATCTTTGCAGTTACACTTTGTTGGCAGGTGCAGGTGACTCTATTACAACTTTAGTTTTACTCTGATCTACTTCCACACCTCTTTGATGGACCAAGAACCCTAAAAAGTTGCTTGCTTTGACTCCAAAGGAACACTTTTTAGGATTCATCTTCAACTTGTGGGTTCTCATCCGTAATAAAGCTTATCTGAGGTATTCTAAGTGTTGCTTCTCGATTTTAAACTTCACCATAATGTCATCAATGTATACCTTCACGATATGCCCGATGAGATCATGAAAGAAAGCATTCATAACCCTTTGATATGTAGCTCCCGCATTTTTCAGCCTGAATGGAATGACAACATATTCATAAGGTTCTATGTATCTTGGGCACCTGAATGTTGTTTTATGTATGTCTTCTTTAGCCATTTTTATCTGATTATTTCCAGCATTACCATTCATAAAGGACAATACTTTGTGTTTTGCAACTGCATCAATTGATAGGTCGGCCATAGGCATAAGGTATTAATCTTAGGGGTTGCTTTATTAACATTTCTATAATCCACACAACATCGAATGACATTAGTTAATACTTTCAATACAGGTATAATGTTGGCCAACCACTCTACATACTTCACATACTTCGCATGTTTAATAAAGCCTGCCTTTACTAGCTTCTGAAATTTTTTTTTTTAACTTTCGCTTCTGTCTCTTTTGACATCCTTCGTGGAGCTTGCTTCACGAGCTTATACCATTCCTTTATAGGCATTCCGTGTTCTACTAGCTCAAAATCCAACCCTGGCATTTCTGTGTAATGCCATGCAAAACAATCCTTGAACTCATGCAAAATATTAACTATTTTTGCCCGATTTGTGGGTTCTAGAAGGCCACTAAGTTGTATTTGAAGGGAAAATTATGAGATTAACACATGGGATTTCTAAATGACTAGCATGCATATACAATTCAAAATTTATATACATGAGCAACGGAAGCAATTTATCAAATAATATCAAAGCTATAGTCATGCAAATCCCCTTCAAGGTTCATAGGTTTATATATAATGCATCAAAACATTTTAGTAAAGAACAAAGTGAAAGTTTAGTCTTATACCTCTTGATTTAGACTTGAGACCAAGGATGGACCACCTCCAAGCCCTTTGTTCCTTGAAGTTCTTGAGCCTAGCCTCCCTCCTTGCCTCCTCCACTTTGTTAGTAAGAGTGCTCCAAGGTTCTCCTTTAGTCTCCAAAGGAGAAGACCTCTAAAGATCCACACCCACCAGTGTAGTGAGATGGATGGAGGAATAACCAAAAGGGTGAAAGATTGTTAGTGAATTCACCCTCTAGGTGGCCGGCCTTTGTGGTTTTAGAGAGCTATTTTCTTTTGCCTCTTTGTTGTTCAAAAACACACAAAAACCCTAATGAACTTTGTGCTATAAAGTTCCTTATATAGACAAAAGAAACCTAGTCAACAACTTGACTAAATATCTCTCCCAAACCCTTTAAGTGGCCGGCCCTTTAGTGTTTGGTTTGGGCTTTGGGCTTTTATTATTTCAAGTCATCCTATGCTTGAATAAAAGCCCAATGGGTTTAGGCCCAATGGGCCTAATTAAACCCGAACGTTTCTTTAAGCCCAAAACGATCTTATATCGCTTTTATGATTTCTTTAGACTTTCTAAATTAATCACAACACTTAATTAATACAATTAATTATTTCCATCATCCATTAATTACTCACTACAAGAGTGTATCGGTGTACAATCATTTTAGGTTCTAATTAGCAAGGCAGTGAGGTGATTGACATCAATCCAATTGATTATATTTAATCCAATCACTTAGTGAATTAAAACTTCATTTTAATTCACCTTTCTTCTTTGATGACTACATTTAATCATCTAGAAGAACTCACAAGCTATGAGTGACATCTAACCATATGTCATAGCTACCCAAGCTAATGTAGAAGTTGTTCGGAGAACCTATTCAGTTGGAATTACAATGTAATTCGATCCTTCTCTAAAACAATACTCTCAATCACATTACTAGGGTATGGATATATTATGTCAAACCCCTAATGTGATTATTCCTTCTTATATGATTCTATTGAGTCGTATAGGAACGCTTTCCTTTATTACGCTCGATACTTCGGCCGAAAATTCCCGAATCATATCTTAGAGTATTCTTCCTCTCTAATTGAGGATTAGAGATTCCTTGTTGCGCATTCACTTGCCTTCATGACTAAGTGGCTTAACCCCAATTATGCCGTGGACATCCGCGAATGGGGTGACTTTGACATAATCAAAGATTAAGTACTTAGCCACAAGACAACGACGATGCCTCAGGTCAAAGGACTACTTACATTATTCCAACCATTATAGTTACTTGCTTGACATGTGAGTAGACCTCCATGCAAGTACTCTCGTTCGATTGTGTTCAGTGAACTCATTCTCTTAATGAGCACCTACATACTTGTCTTAGTGTCACAACACGAATGGGATGAGACTTTCCATCCTTCCATTTGAAGCGGACACAGTATGTACCGGTCTAAGCATTGTCAGTTTCCCTCCGACAATCCAATGACTAGGAACCTTGGTTATGTGAAGAAGGTCTCTGTAGTCTAACATCATTAGATTACTTCTTCAATCGATCCATTGTCCATGGATACACTATTTAGGACATATATCGTTTATTGAGACAGTCCTAATTCGTGTCCTTGCCATTTGATGTATAAGAGTCATCCATACATCGATTCATTTGTCCTGAAAGGTTTCTTCCAAAGATTGACTTTCAGGGCATATTTCCAACAGTATTGGCCTTGGATCTTCCTTAGCCCCCAAATTAATGGTTTCCAAGGGATCTTGAACCTCAGGTGTCGGCTTATCGAGCTCTATAAACAAAAACTCCATTAACTTTGGGGTTTTGGGCATATCATCAAGCCAATCCAAGTCATATACACATTCTGCCACGTGTACAACAAATCTTGCATTTTCTTCAAAAAAACCCTTATCTTGGTTATCTTTAGTGCTTGAAGCTTCTTCTTCCCCTTTTGTTATTTCTTTGGTTGAGCATTGCTTGATTTATCTTATTTTTCTCCTATATTCTAACAGTTTCTTGATTACGGACCTGACCTTTACTACTTGGTCCCTATTCTCCTATTATGTCATCATTGGTGGTTTTGGGCTAGGATGATGCAAGGTCTATCTCATTCCTCTTTAGCAAGAAGCAATCCTTGTTCGAAGAGCTTCTGGACCGTCACTTGGTAAGGCGGCCATTTTTATAAGCTCCTTAACATTGTAAAATCCCAACATTAGGATTGTAGAAGTTAGCCTCAACAATATTGGTTGTGGGGAGAAATGGTCTTGATTTGGCCTCTATTATCTCCCAAAATCCTTACTCTACATTAGCTTATTCATGATAGACAGCAACTTGTTGGTGCAGGGCAGATGGTATAGACAAGCTCTAGTGATTCATAATAGACATTGTGAGGTCTGTTGGAATAAGGTCTTCTTCACCCTTGCCAAGCCTCTTCATATGATTAAATGGTATCACATTGACAGCTACCCCCATCTATTAATACTCTTTTAAAAAGAACTATTTCCAAGTGAGTTGTCACATAGATGGGGTTTAAATGGTTTGCCAATGCCAAACTTGGTCTTTCGAGCACCGTTTCATTAGTATAAACCCTTTCGGGCACTTTTTGCAAGGGGTCGGGCAAGACTATCACTTTTGGTTCTTCTCTACTAGTTTCTTCAAGGTTTACAAGGGCCATCATTGGTTTTTGTGACAAATAATTTTCTTGCGTCACAATCGGTTAATCTGGTTTAGCACAAAACATGGAGAACAACACATAAGTCATGTTAACAAGGAAATTGCAAGGTCCAAGTGCCTTTTCCTTCTTATCCCTAATCTGGCACAAGAATTGATCCATCCAAGCTTGTGCTTCTTCATTTAACGTCAACTCTAGTGCTTCCTTTTCTTCCACTATATTGAAATCAAGTAGCTGTTTTGGAGTTCCAAAAAGCATACCCCCTTACGATGGTGAAGGTACCATTCTTTCAAGAGATATGGTCCCAAAACGAATAGGCACTAGGTTCCAGCCTGGTGTAGGTACCATAACCATGCTTTCTTGCATTCTCGTCAACACCCTATTTTTCCCAGGATGAGGAGTCTAGGGAACATGTTCTCCTCATACTTCTCTAACTTGGTTACTTCTCACTTTCTCAAAACCCTTCAAATTTGACATTCTCAGAGATTTTTGACATAGTAGGGATTTGTAATGAATTCATATGAGTTTTGTGATGCCTGTGTACCCTTGTTATCATGGATGCCCCATTCTCTCTCACAGGACTTTCGTCCTTCCCTACTACATACTATTTTTGGCCCAATTAAGCTGAGCTTACTTTTGTGACTAGTGACACTAGCCGCATAGTCATTTTTGTCCTTCTTGGTCTTGTGTTACCGCAACTGGTTGAGCAGGGTATTTTAACATCCTTCTAACATGGCAACCTTCCATCCTTATCTTCTACTTCTTCAGAAGAATTGAAATTTCTAAACACTTTAGACAAATTCTTAGGTTCTGAATCTCCTTTTAGCCTGTGAATCACATACTTTGAGGTTTCTTTCTTTAACTTAGATGCTTGGAAGTCAACTCTACAGGCTTCTTATTATTCTTTATTCTCATTTTTAGCTAATTCTTGGTCAATAATGGCACCTAATGTTGGCAGCTTTAACTCACATTCACATTGGCACCTACTACACAACACTACTCCCTTGATTACAACCACTTGAAGTCTATTGGGCAACCTCCTACTATCTTCAGCTGGTCTATTTAAACTTTTCATTTCTTCAATTGAGGAT